TTCCCGCCTGGCAAGAGCAAGTTTTATTAGCTTGGCCTGTGTGGTTTTTATACTCTTCGCTGTGATTATCAAACTTATTTCCGGTGATTATAAAGTGTAAGTATTTGTATCAAGGTGTCAGTTATCCTTGGCAGAAGGAATGCTACTTTTTTGTATGCAAACAAAAAAATAAAGAAAGTATAAATTAAATGAGTATCAAAATGTTGAAATTGTGCACGATATTAATATTTATGACTGCGATAAATAAACTCTAATTGTGTTTATAGACTTTTATAAACAAACATATGTCAAGGTTTATGTGCGATATACGCTACGCTCGTTATGTACGTAAGATATTCGGAATATCTATGAATTGATATTTTTGGAGAAGGCATGATAATACATTTTATAGTAAAAATACACCTGCGTGTTAGAGAATTTTTTGTAGAAAACAGTAGGATATGACAATTATTCTAAGACCTGAAGGTCTGTGATTTTTATACCCTTCATCACACTGTGGTACAAGGTATTATGTCTTTGTGCATATATTTGTAACATGCAAAAATAATCGAGATAAACCCATGTTTCCTTTTGGGAATATGCATAGAATCACTTTCTGAGTCGATTTATGGATGTCCGTCCGTCCGTCTGTCTGTCTGTTGGCGTTAAATTGTAAACAGGTCGCATTTATGATCCGAATTGGATGAAATTTGGCACAGCTCACTTGTTTGGCCCAAGGACAAACCCTTTTGAAATTGGGAAAAATCGGTTCAGATTTAGATATAGCTCCCATATATATTTTCGTCCGATTTAAGGTAAATGGTGCACCAAAGTCCCTAAATAGCTTTCGATTTGCGCGAAATATTGCACAGCGTACTGAAAATCGGTTCAGATTTAGATATAGCTCCTATATATATATATTCGTCCGATTTAAAGTAAATGTTGCACCACAGTTCTTAAATATCTTTCGATTTGCACGAAATTTGGCATAACGTATTGAATTGAGCATAGAGTGATATCTTCCAAGTTTCGAGAAAATCGGTCCAGATTTAGATATAGCTTCCATATTCGTCCGATTTAAGGTAAATGGTGCACTAAAGACCCTATATGTCTCTCGATTTGCACGAAATTTAGTATAACGTAGTGAATTGAGCCTATAATGACGTCTGCCAAGTTTAGTGAAAATCGGTCAACATTTATATATTGCTCCCATATATAGTTTCGTCCGATTTCATGTAAATGGTGCACCAAAGTCTTTATATATACTTCGATTTGGACGAAATTTGGGATAAAGTATTGAATTGATCCAAGAGGAATGTCTGCCAAGTTTCGTCATAATCTGTTCAGTTTTAGATATAGCTCCCATATATAGATTCGTCCGATTTCATGTAAATGGTGCATCCCTATATATCATTTAGTCCAGACTGATGTGTGCCAAGTTTCGTGAAAATCGATTGAGATTTAGATATAGCTGCCTTATATTATAGATTGATTTTATGTAATTGACGCACTAAGGATCCAATATATGGCTGATAGGAACAAAACGTACTGAAATTAGTATGACCTAACCTGTGACAAGTTTCGTTGAAATCGGTTCATATTTGGATATAACTTCCATGTATATTTTCGGCCGATTTTAATTAAATTGGACATGAAACTCCTCTTGTTAGTCAGATTGACATCAAATTTTGCACAACGTACAAATTTGAGCATAGAATTACGTAGTTGCATTTTCTAGAAGTACAGACATAGCCTAGCGGATGACCTATTGATATTTGTTTGAAGTCGATTGATCTGAGTCTATTCACATTTAAATAAACATTTTATTTTATCCAATTTCATACCCATAGTGGTGAAGGGTATCATATAGTCGGCTCCGTCCGACTTTACTACTTGGTCTGTGATTTTTTATAAAAAAAATGCCCTTATGCCCAGGGTCCAACTATTTCTACAGAAAAAAATTCCAAGAAGTTCGGGTACTAGTTTTTTCCGCGGAAAAAATCCCCAGACCTTCAGGTCATAGTTTTTTCCATGGAAAATGAGTTCACAGGCAATCAGGGTCCTCTTTTTTGTAAAAAACACACATATATATAGAAAAATGCGCAGACCCCAGGGATCTGCAAATTTTTTTCTATAATTTTTTTGTATTGAAAAAAATAGGACCTGAGGGTCTGTGAATTTTGTTCTATAGAAAAAATAAGACCTGTGGGTCTGTGAATTTTTCTATAGAAAAAAAATAAGACCTGAGAGTTAGTGAATTTATTTCTATAGACAAAAATAAGAACTGAGAGTCTGTGATTTTTTTGCATTAAAAAATAAGACCCGAGGGTCTGTAATTTATTTTCTGTAGAAAATAAAGCCCTTAGAATGTGTGAATTTATTTCTGTGCATTTAATGCTTTTATTTTTAGTTTCCACAAGAAAAAATAGGATATTAAGTTCCGTAATTTTTTACAATACAATAAGAAAAATTTTAAAATTTGCTTTCCGATTATGGTTCCTCTAAAGCGAATCCTCTTTCTTTCTTTGTAACCATTCTGTAACAATACTAAGCACCGACGGCATTAGTCAAACAATCCTCTCGCAAGTGCTTCACGCTGTTAAATAGCTTTTATATGGAGCGTAATTGCAACAAATTGTTTCTTACAAATGCCACATCACGAAACAACAATAGCAAGTGGATCCTTTATTCAAATAACAGCACAACACAAAACAACAACAAAATAAAATAAAAAATAGCCACTTTTGTTGCTTTTCAGGTGGAATATTTATTCACCATTTTGAAAGGATTTAGCTGTAACAGTAAACAGTGAATTGTTCGCCGACAAAAGCGATGTTAACAAGTGAACGTGGTCTTAACTCTGGTGGGGTCATACTTAACGTTAAAGTGAAAAAGGCAATAGGGATATATAAAGAAATGTAGTCGAGAGTTGTAAAATTCCTTGGCCAGTGGGAAAGTACAATCTAAATTGAAAAATATTATTTCCCGTTTAATAATTAGGTTAATTGGGCACAATGAAACAGACATAAGTTATTCCAACCATACTCATTAATAGCGATGATATTAGTATATCAGTCCTTTATTATCAGTGACCTAACTAATATCCGTAGAAGTTACATTTTTTATTCACTTGTTTAGAGTAGGAATTTTCTAAGACGACTAAGACACTTTAAACAGATAATATTTTGTGCACCAAAATTTCGAACAATATACTATTCCCAACTAGTTTCATAGGTATTCGAGCTTTACACAATAATCAGGGCCGTTTGACCCGCTATAAAAACCCATAAAACCTTCGTTTGCGGGTTGCTATAGCTCCCATATAAATGTACCGACCAATTTTCGAGATATTTGAAGGCTTTTCCCACGATATAGCTGTAATTTGGTATAAAGGATTTTTGGGTGTATTTTCCCATTGTAGTGGCTGTAATTTGGCCTTCGACAATTCAATATAGATTCAGGTTTTGATTTCGCCTCCACACAATGTTCGGTATTATTAAAATTCTAACCGGATTTTTTCTACAGACAATGTTATGTAAATTGGAATATTATTTTTATTCAGGACATGAGCAACATACTTCCACATCATGAAACAAGATGGAAAGTTAAAGCCAATAAGTAAAGTAGTAGAAAAATCGTACGGAGCCGACTATATGATACCCTTCAACACTATGGGTATATTAAACAGGACTATTAACATGAAATTGGATGAACTAAAATATGTGAAATTTATCTAAATGTGAATCGACTCAGATCAATCCATAAACATGTCATTCGTTTGTTACAATGGGACAAAAGTATCTAAATCGACTTCAAACAAATATAGGACATCCGTTGGGCTATGTCTATACTTTTGAAAAACGCAACTACGTATTCTATGCTCAATTTTGTGCGTTGTGCAAAATTTCATGTCAATATGACAAATCTCAACCTAAATCTATGCAATAATAGAACTTTGGTATATTATTTACATTAAATCGGAAGAAAAAAAAATATATATATATATTTAGATCTGAACCGATTTTCACGAAACTCAGAAATCGAAAGATATATAGGGACTTTTGTGTACCTTTTCCATTAAATCGGACAAAAATATAGATGGGAGCTATATCTAAATCTGATCCGATTTTCACGAAACTTGGCTGACATCACTCTAAGCTCAATTCAGTACGTTATGCCAAATTTCGTGCAAATCGAAAGATATATAGGGGCTTTGGTGCACCTTTTACATTAAATCGGACGAAAATATATATGGGAGCTATATTTATATCTGGGCCGATTTTCACGAAACTTGGTAGACATCACTCTAGGCTCAATTCAGTACGTTATGCCAAATTTCGTGCAAATCGAAAGATATACAGGGACTTTGGTGCACCATGTAGAATAAATCGGACGAAAACATATATGGGAGCTATATCTAAATCTGAACCGATTTTCACGGAACATGGCAGACGTCATTCTAAGCTCAATTTAGTACATTATACCAAATTTCGTGCAAATCAAAAGATATATTGTGACTTTGGTGCACCATTTACATTAAATCGGACGAAAATATATATGGAAGCTATATCTAAATCAGAACCGATTTTCACGAAACTTGGCAGACATCGCTCCAGGCTAAATTCAGTACGTTATCCCAAATTTCGTGCAAATCGAAAGATAGGTAGGAACTTTGGTGCACCTTTTACAATAAATCGGACGAAAATATATATTGGAGCTATATCTAAATCAGAACCGATTTTCACGAAACTTGGCAGACATCACTCCAAAAAAAATTCAGTACATTATGCCAAATTTCGTGCAAATCGAAAGATATACAGGGACTTTGGTGCACCTTTTACAATAAATCGGACGAAAATATATATATGGGAGCTTTATTTATATCTTAATCGATTTTCACGAAACTTGGCTGACATCACTCTAGGCTCAATTCAGTACGCTATGCCAAATTTCGTGCAAATCAAAATATATATAGGGACATTGGTGCACCATTTACCTTAAATCGGACGAAACTATATATGGGAGCTATATCTAATTCTAGGCCGATTTTCACGAAACTTGGCAGGCATCACTCTAGGCTCAATTCAGTGCGTTATGCCAAATTTCGTGCAGATCGA